AGGTAGATTTACCATGTGATTCTTTTCAAGGAACCATCTTTAATATATTATTCTGATAGTTTTCTTCATTCTAATTCATTAATTTCTGCCTTTAGCTTTTTCTAATTCTGCTTTGTTTCTCGGATTTATTGTTCTTTCTTACTTGCATGATAAGTTCAATTATTTTCATTTGTTCCTTTATTTTATTATTATTTTTTTTTACTCAGGAAAAAAATGTACCATTCACATTTCTTTTTTTTTTTAAAGCAAATGACAAAGACCCAGCTTACTAGCTTTTAAAAACTAAGCTAAAAACAATTGTCAAAACTTATACTAAGTTGCCAGCATTCATGCACAACGAGAAAGCCTTCTTAAATTTTTATTCAACTAGAAATGCATTACCATTAATATATTAATATCTTTAATTATAAACTACTGAAAAAAAATCCAGTATACCATCTTGTCCTAGCAGTACTCAAAAGTCAAGACTCACCTTGGATTACATTTATTAAAAAATAAAAGTGCATATAGATACTATAACAGTTTTAAAAACACACACAAAAAATGGTCCTATCGTGTGGTCCCAACAATAAACTCAAAAGTCTGTGACAAATATGGGCTCAGATGAGCTGTGTGTAAATATATTAGATTAGATACAATTATACTGAAAGTTGAGTTTGCTTGAAATCTTAAAAAAAAAGTTCCTGTTAATGTTAAAATGGTGCATGTTATAGTTCAACATTTGTGTAAAATGTGGGCATTGAATTACTTATTATCCAAGTGTAGCACTATTTTTTTTTTACCATTTATTGTTAAGGACTGTAACTGACAGTCTTCTTCAGTCTTCTACTCTTTATTGACCATTCTCAACATTTTGTAGTGATTTTTATGCCATTTACTATTTTAATAGAAGTTGATATAGATTTGAAGTTGCCCATCCCACTGCTGCCAAATAATGTTGCAAAGAATGAAGGGGTTGCCCTGTGAACTAGTGACCCAGATGAAGTAAATCTTATATCAAATGAAGAAAATAATCCAGCTCTGAATAATAGAAATCCACTGAAAGCAGAGAAAAATGAGCATGCATCTCAGTTTCTGCTTCCTTGGGGACCCCCGCTTTGGTTCCCAAAGAAGTCTTTAAATCTGTGTTCAAAGAAGTTGAACAAAAATGAGTTTATTACACCGGAAAATTCTCTGAGGACATCATCCGGATTGTGGAATGTGAAACCAGACTAAAACAGAGTATCAAAATGACTTACACCTCCTCCTCCACCATTTAATCCTTCTTAGCTACACTTGTCATAGATGTCCCGTTTTTTAGCATCTGATAATACCTTGTATGCCACAGCTACTTGATTGAATTTTCTCTGTTGCCTTTTTTCCCCCATTTTTTATTGGTGCATTATAGTTGTGCATATGATGGGATTTGTTGTTACATATTCATACATGGACACAATATACCAATATAATTTGGCCAGCACGATTCCCACTCCTTTATTTTCAGAATTTTTATCTGGATGCAACTGTAGTGCCAGTTTCTGATATGTCTTTTTGATATCTTTGGATGAGGCATTGTCTCTGCACTCCATGTTTTAACGTAGTAATCCACCATGTTTTAACAGATTGTTGGAAAAAGTCCCAGGCCACATTGTCCAGTTTAGGACTGGGTAGGGCTGCTGGCTGAGCTTTTCATGGTCTTCAAGGCTGTGCTGGTTTGGTGGCAGCAAAAGTTCTTTTCTTATTTTTTTCCTTTTAAGTGGCACAAAAATTTCAAGTTGTGCCTTTTTCTTTCTAGTTAATTTCCCTAATAATTTTGTATGAATGTTTTATATATTGTGCAATGAATATTTTGCTGCTTTTTTGACTCTGCAATTTTAAGCCTTTTCTTTCTTTCTTTCTTTTTTTTTAACCAGTTGAAATCTTCAGTGTTTTAGGTAAAAAATCGTAATGCTCATCAGTAATTTCAAGTTAGCTCTTCTCTTCCATGAACTTTTAGCTTGTGACACAAACCTGTCCCTATGGAGATAACCAGATCAATATGGAATAGTGGGATAGATCTTTTTATTCCTCAAATACTTTAGGAAATGTGCATTATGGGACTAAATTTATAATTAGATAACAGAGAAGCATAATTACCTACAAAAATTGAATGAACAAAATACTAATTTTAAGGATTTCAAATAGGTTTGATAAATATTTTTGGTTGTATACTAAAATAAAAATACATATTCAAGCAATTGTACAGGAGATAGGGATATGTAGATGATTAAAAATCTTGATAAAATTTTTATCTTGTACAAAGCTGAGCAGCAAGAAAAGTGAAAGGAAATTTCACATGTAACTCAGAAATTACATTCAAGATCAATGTGAAGAGAACTAAATAGGGAAAAAAACACCAAAGAATTTTTCAGAGTGTTTTGGGAGTAGTTGTCTTTTTAGTGAGAAGACATACTTATTGATAAGTGGAAAAAATTATTAGGAACATAGGAGCAAGAAAATGACATGTAAGTTAAGGACAGCTGTCAAAAGAATTAATCTATTAAACCATCAGAAGAAAATAGTTTTTACTCAGTAGAAACTGGGTAAGAGAAATAGAAGATCAAAAGAAAAGTAAGAAGGGTAAATGAAAATATGAGCCAAGTAATGTTGAATGCTGGTTCACCAAGAACACCTCTTGATAAGACTAAGTTGGTTAATGTGACAAAATTGTTGATGGTTACTGTAGTTTGGAGATGACTGGGCCTTAGTACTTAGTAGCCTTTCAGAAAGGGAAGGACAGAGATGAGATATTTATTGAGTGTGTTGGAGTAGTTGTATTTTTAGTGAGAAGACATACTTAAAGGGGTTTTCAATGAGGCAGGGCTTCTTGGTTATGGTCAAGTAAGGATCATGTTATAATAGTTTAGGAATATAAAGGAGAATTTGAGGGCAAAGGGTTCTGAGTTTTGGGATGTAAATCATCATTTGATATTTTCTGTTGAAGACTTAATAGGTTTTTCAGTAATTTTCTGGAATGAACCATAAATCATTTTTTTTTTCTCGTGGCGTTAATCTTTCTGGATAAGAGTATCCCATGGAACAATAATCTTATGTTGTTGAATAGTAAAGCCATGTTAATGTAGGCAATGAACTGTGCGAATGATTTCCATTCTTTGAGGACAGAGAAAATTGCATTTGTGGGCTTGGAGAGCACGCCTTCACTCTCTTTTATTTATGGTTTTATTACACTACTAGATTTGTTTTGCTAGCATTTTATTTAGGATTTTTGCAATTATATTCATTAATAAGAGAGACCTGTTTTGTTCTCCTATGTTTTTAAAATCTAGTTTTAGTGTTAGGCTGGCTTTGTTGAATTAGTTCATCTCTCCTTCCCTCTCTCTCTGAAACATTTTTTTGTTGTTGTTGTTGAGGATTTTCTCTTTGTTATGGACAGGTTTTATGTTTAAATTTTCTCTAGCTCATATTTCGTTATTTTTTTTAGTATGATTTAACTGGCTTTTGATTACCAAGAGTTGTTATATTTCTATTCCACTATGGTTATCTAGCCTTGTTACACATTTTATTATTGTTTTAAATATGTTTTGCATTTTCTGAGGATTTGAACCAGATGTGCATGGTTGTGTTATGACTTAGCCCTCATCTTGAACAACACTTGCCTTTTAAAGTTAATCCTCCTTTTTCTTTTCTTCTTTTTCCTATCTCAGTTAAGTAGGTAGGTATCTTATATTCTGACCAGACAAAAATTAAGGAGAATTATATTTTCAGTTTCCCTTTATTTTTCTATTAGTTATCAATGTGCCATCTTCAGTAAAATATTGTAAACTATATTATCTTTTTTTTTAAATTTTTTTTTTAAATTGGTTGTTCAAAACATTACAAAGCTCATGACATATCATCTTCCATACATTTGATTCAAGTGGGTTATGAACTCCCATTTTTTACCCCAGATACAAGTTGCAGAATCACATCGGTTACACATCCACATTTTTACATAATACCATATTAGTGACTGTTGTGTTCTGCTACCTTTCCTATCCCCTACTATCCCCCCTCCCCTTCCCTCTCGTCTTCCCTCTCTACCCCATCTGCTGTTGTTTAATTCTCTCCCTTGTTTTTTTTTTTCCCCTTTCCCCTCACAAACTCTTATATGTAATTTTGTGTAACAATGAGGGTCTCCTTCCATTTCCATAGTTTCCCTTCTGTCTCCCTTTCTCTCCCCCCACTCGTCTCTGTTTAATGTTAATCTTTGACTCATGCTCTTCTTCCCTGTTCTGATCTTAGTTGCTCTCTTTATATCAAAGAAGACATTTGGCATTTGTTTTTTAAGGATTGGCTAGCTTCACTTAGCATAATCTGCTCTAGTGCCATCCATTTCCCTGCAAAATCCATGATTTTGTCATTTTTTAGTGCTGCGTAATACTCCATTGTGTATAAATGCCACATTTTTTTAATCCATTCATCTATTGAAGGGCATCTGGGTTGATTCCAAAGTCTAGCTATTGTGAATTGTGCTGCCATGATCATTGATGTGGCAGTATCCCTATAGTATGCTCTTTTAAGGTCCTCAGGGAATAGACCGAGAAGGGCGATAGCTGGGTCAAATGGTGGTTCCATTCCCAGCTTTCCTAGGAATCTCCATACTGCTTTCCATATTGGCCGCACCAGTTTGCAGTTCCACCAGCAATGTACAAGTGTACCCTTTTCCCCACATCCTCGCCAGCACTTATTGTTGCTTGACTTCATAATGGCTGCCAATCTTACTGGAGTGAGATGGTATCTTAGGGTGGTTTTGATTTGCATTTCTCTGACTGCTAGAGATGGTGAGCATTTTTTCATGTACTTATTGATAGATTGTATGTCCTCCTCTGATAAGTTCTATTCTAAGCGAATGGTGAACAGTCTTGGGTATTCTGTTTTGGTCCTTATAGTCTTTAATTTACTTTTAATATATACATGTAAAATAAAATAGACCTAATATGAAGGGGATCTTTTAATGAATTATTTCCCCTCCCCCAATATAGGAAGTTCACAGATGGGTGCTACTATAGTAGATGCTTTGGATACCCTTTATATCATGGGACTTCATGATGAATTTCTAGATGGACAAAGATGGATTGAAGACAACCTTGATTTCAGTGTGGTGAGTATACAATTGATAATTAATCTCCTAGGTTGACTAGGAAAAGGCATATTTTTCTTTGCTATAGAACATAGCAGAATATTTGTATTTTTCCAAAATTCATATATTGAAACCTAATCATTAATGATGGAGCCCTTGGGAGGTGATTGAGACATCAGGATAAAGCCCTCCTGAATGAAATTAGTGCCCTTATAAAATAAGCCCCTGGAGAGCTGCCTTGCCCCTTCTACTTTGTGAGGACACAGTTAGAAGGTACCATCTATGAATCAGAAAGTGGGCACTCACCAGACACTGAATCTCTGACATCTATATCTTGGACTTCCAGAACTGTGAATTTCTGTTGTTTATTAGCTACTCAGTTTATAGTGTTTTGTTATAGTGGTGCCAGTGGTCTGTGAGGCTAAGCATGATAGTAGCAGTTTAAAGAAATGTTAATACTAAGTCCTCTTTCTTCTTTGGGGATCATCAGCTGTTACTTATTTTTTGCATAAAATACACACCTTTTGGCAGCATCTTTTTTTTTTTTACTTTTCTTGCCCTTATCATTTGAGGTATTGTGTAAGTGTGTTAGAGCAATAATTGGAGTGGGGAAAACAATGAATTAGATACATCAGGAGATTAAAAAGTGCTTTGTAAATATTAAGTGAGTTTTGGGTTTCTTTTTTCTTTAGAAAATATTTAATGATTTGGTACAACTCTAAGTTGTTATAATCAGGCTTACATGCATCCTTCCAATACTTTGCCTAGCACAATTAATTCTAGCTATGTGGCTCAGGAATTTTATTTATTCTTTTTAAACTTATGATAAAATAGTTATCTTATTGTAATATTAGGATTATTTGACATAATCTGATACATTTTGGATGCTTAGTGAAAAATCATTATTTTCATAAGACCAGTACCTAAAAGGCATGTGGGCTGTTTTGTCTTATTCGCTGTTATATTCCATGATATTTCCATGTGTTTGCTGTGTTCCTTTTGACTCTAGTGTCCTTCACTTCTTCTCTTATGTTTTTCTCTGTGACACTCATTGATAGTTAAATTGTGATTTAAATCAATATTTATTTCTTTTCTAATGATTTTCCTTGTGCTAACCAGAAAAAACTGTTTATCTTCTATTATGTTATTCTAACATTAAAAATGCTGGATCTATTTATTGACATATCTTAATTAGAATAATTTTATTATCTGTTAGGTTTAGGTTTGGCTATGGGTGGCAGAAAAACCTAAAATAAAATAACTAAAACAAGATGTTTATTTCTATTTCATGCAAGTCAGATACTGAGATGAAAAGTTCAGGGCTGCTTTGGATAGCTCCTTGGATCATCAAGATCTTAGGATCCTTTGTCTCAATTGCTCTATTAACTTCAGTATATATATAGCTTTGACCTCATTGGTATGAGATGGCTTCATAAGATCCAGGATCTTATCTACCTTCCAGATGGCATAAAGGAAGAAAAGAGAGGATAGATATGTAACTAATCTTTCAGAATACTTCTTGGGAGTTGGTTACTCTATTTTTGTGTCCATGCTGTTGGGTAGATTTTACTCATATGGTTCCATCTAACTACACAAAAGTTGAGAAATGTCGTGTTTTTTTTCCCCCTTTGTAGCTAGGCAGATTGTTTTTTGTATATCTAGTATATAAAATTCCTACTATAAGGCCATAAGGATATATAGGAGATACGTGTGTGTATACATGCATATATGTGTGTGTGTGTTTATTTTGTTTTGTTTTGTACCAGAGATTGAACCCAGTGCAATCAACCACTAATCTATATCCCCAGTCCTATTTTGTATTTTGTTTAGAGACAGTGTATCACTGAGTTGCTTAGCGCCTTGCTGTTGCGGAGGCTGGCTTTGAACTCACGATCCTCCTAGAGCTGCTGGGATTATAGGTGTGTGCCACCATGCCTGGCCAGCATATATTTTTTATTCCAAACCTTTTAAAGTTTTGCTTTTGTGTTTTATCTTTAATCCATATGGATTTTTTTTTGTATGTAGTACAAATAGGCAACTATCAAGTGATATTAGCACTATTCATTTATACATAAATAACACCCTGCTATTTATGTATGCCATTATTAGTCATATGTTGGTCATATTAATTTGTTCTTTTCCATTGTCTGTTTTACTTATCCCTTCTTCAATACTAAACTATCATAATATTTTTATAAGAAGTTAATATCTGTATCTGAATCATAATATCTAATCTTGGTCCGTGAGGAAATTATTTTAGTTCTCATTTTTTTCTTTTAAGTTCTGGAAACGTCTCTTGAAATTTTGATGAGGATTGCATTTAATTTATAGTTTAATTTGAAGAGAATTGGCATCTGTGTAATGTCAGATACTCCTGTTCATTTACATGGCAGCTTTATTATGTCTGATAATTTCCTTGAAAGATCATTGTACCAGTCAGGCTCGAAAAGGAAGCAGAACTATACCATTTTTTTTTTTCAAATAGAGAATTTTTTGTTTAGAATTGCTAGCCAAGTAATGGGGAACTAAAAAGGGAAAAAGTATTATGGTGTCTCCAGAAGTAGTAATTACAGGAAGCAGCTAACACATGTGGCTCTCTGAGAACTGTGGGAAGAGTTTGGAATCATTAAAATTTAGTAGCTTGAAACCTGAGGAGCCAGTACCCAGAGCTGCTCAGATGTGGCTGGTCTTTAGGAACTCTTAAAAGACTCTCTTGATGGTGAAACTCTGGCCTCTGAGGAGGATACCCTGTAAGTGCTTGGTATGTTTTACCAAGTGAGGGGTGGCCAAATGCCTGTAATCTCAGTAGCTCGGGATCAGGAGCCTGAGGCAGGAGGATTGGAGTTCAAAGCCAGACTCAGCAAGTTAGGGAGGCCCTAAGTAACTCAGTAAGACCCTGTCTCTAAATGAAATATAAAAAAAAGCACTGGGGATGTGGCTCAGTGGTTAAGTGCCTCTGGGTTCAATCACTGGTACCAAAAAAGAAAAAAAAAAAAAAAAGAAAGAAAAAAAGAAAAGAAAAATAGGCACAGTGAGATTGGTTTGGGGATGTGTGTATATGACAGGATAATGCCTTGGAACCAACTGCCACTACTAGGGTGAAGAATCATGGCTTGTGTGATGCTGTTAGAAACTAGAAGTAAACAGGAAGGAGTAAGTCCCTTCTTCTTCCTCTAGTCTTGTATTTTGTTTTTATAATTGCCTAATGGTAGAGCCTAAACAGGAACCAGCTGGTGAAAGAGAAATCTATTTTCATTTCCTTTATATCAAAGTTAAAGAAGAATGAATTTGAACCTGAGAGAAAATAGTTGATGGTATAGTTGTTTTCTGTCCCTTTATTTTTAACCTATATCCTTATGTTTTAGCTAATTTGCACAGTGTGTATTTGAATTTTGTTATCTTTATGCAGTCTTTTATTTTAACAATTAAATTTGAAATATTTACATTTATTATGATAAAATATAATTAGGGTTGGGTTTTCCATCTTTGTTTTGCTACTTACATTACAGTATTATACTTTTCATTTCATTTTATTTTCTGTTGTCTTTTCATAATTTGAATTAAATTGCTTTTTTTAAAAAATTATTTTTTAGGTTTAGGTGGATACAATATTTTTATGTGATGCTGAGGATTGAATTCAGTGCTTCATGCATGCTAGGTGAGCAATATACCACTGAGCCACAATCCCAGCCCTAAATTACTTTTTTGTCCCTTTTCCTCAACTAGATTGACATTAGACTTTCCACTTCCATCCATTTTGGGGTTACCCTTTAAATTTTACTACTTATCAAAGGTTGAAATTAATCAATTTTTTAATCCTTCTGTAGGACATAAGAATCTTCGAATGCAGCTCAACTCCTTCTTATGTGTAATTGTTTATTTGGTCCCAATTCATATTTCAAACTGCAGATTAAGTAATGATAAAATAGGTAATATATCATTAATGCCTCTTCTACAACAGACAGTGTTCTGAATTCTGTGGATATGTAATTAACAGAAACAGAATCTTGCCAGTTCCAGTGGCACATCACTGTAATCCCAGCAGCTCCGGAGGCTGAGGCAGGAAATTCACAAGTTCAAAGCCAGCCTCAGCATCTTAACGAGGTCCTACGCAACTTAGCAAGACTCTGTCTTTAAATAAATATAGAAAAGGGCTGAGGATGTGGCTCAGTGGTTAAGTGCCCCTGGGATCAGTCTTTGGTACCCCCAAAAACTAACAAACAAAAAAACCCAAAATGGAATCATCTCTTTCTTGGTTTTACATTCTGGTGTTGGGAGAAAAGCAGTAAATAGTTATTTAAATTATGTATGGTTATGTCAGAAAGTAGAAAGTGCTGTGGAGAATGATAAACAAGAGTAGATAGAATTAGAGTAAGTAGTGGTGGGGCATTGCTATTTGACCTGGGGTGGCTATTGAAGAGCTGTTTGATAAGATGGTATTTCTGAAATGAGACCCAAGGGAAGTCCTGTGCATGTGGGTAAAAGGACCTCTGTTAATAGATATAGCTGAGCATAGAATGAGAGCTCAATTATTTTCTCTCAGTCTTTTAGAGTGGGATGGTTTCATTGTCATCAACTTCTGTACTATTGTAAAGTATGCTCATCAGTCTAAATTTTAACAGTAATCTTTCTTTTCCTCCCATGTTTCTGTATTTTCTTTTACGTTTTGTGTGTGTGTGTGTGAGTGTGTGTTATACTGTGAATTGAACCCAGGGGTACGCTTCTACTGACCTACTTTCCAGCCGTTTTTATTTTTAAAAATTTCGAGATAGGGTCTTGCTAGTCGCCCAGGTGGCCTCCAACTTGTGACCCTCCTGCCTTAGGCTCCTGAATAGATAAGATTAGAGGCATGTGCCACTGGGCCTGGCTTCATTGTGTTGTTCTATAATTATATTACCATGTGTCTATGTTATTATTTTTTAAAGGAGTCACAGTGTTTCATAAAGCTGAGGATTTATGTTTTTATCAATGTTAAAAGATTCTCAGTTATTACTCCTTTCAATAATGTCTCTCTCACATTTCTCCCTTCTTTCCTTCCAGAACTTCTTTTATCTTCTGTCTAGAGAAGGTCAAGATAGGAATTTTATAAGTGGTTATAAATAATTAGATGATAATAAATGTTAATTGGGGAACTAATGCAGAGTAAAGGATATTAGTGATGGATGATTACAACATTTTATATTGGGTGGTCAGCAAAAGTTTCTGATGTAACATTTGTTGACATCTGTAGAAAGTGATAGAGTGAGTGATTTATCTAGATGAAGGGAAAGCACCCAGACGAGAAGGTAACAAATGTAGAAGACTCAAGATTGGCAGTTCTGAGAATACCAGGTAGGTCTATATAGTGAAACTGAATCAAAGGAGTTATGCTAGGAGAGATGTCAGAAAAGTTGTGGGGATGAGCATATTGATTTTTATTTACTCTAAGTGTAACCAGAAGCCATTGTGTAGTGACCTAACACTAAGATTTAAAATGCCCACTCTAGCTATATGGTACTGAGTGGAGTGTAGGAAGTAGGACATGGATGAAAGCAAGGAAACTGATTTGAGGGTTCTTGTTGCAGTTCCAGTGAGTGTTGGAGGCTCTTCCTCCCTGTGTTTAGTAATGTCTGCTGTATGCCCTGCAGTATGCTAAATTTTGGGAGTACATGAATTAATATTAGTCCTTTGCAGTCTTGTTAGGAAAAAATTACATTGTATTATCATAGTTCTATATTGGAAAACTATATTTATGCTAGCAAGCAATGTGTTCTGCCTGTGAATGTCAGAAAAACTTCAGAGTAATCCATTTTTCCCTTTAATTTTTTATTTTATTTACTTATTTAAATTTTTAAAAATATTTATGTGTGTGTGTGTGTGTTGTTTTAGTTGTAGTTGGACACAATACCTTTGTTTTATTTGTTTATGAGGTGCTGAGGATCGAACCCAGGGCTTTGCACACACTAGGCAAGTGCTCTACCACTGAGGCACGACCCCAGCCCTTTAATTTTTTAAATTAATTATCCATGTTATTATTTTTATATGAGTCACATATACTCTGGATTCTTTGGTTATACTCTTTGCCAGTTTTACTTTTCTTTCCAGGTGTTAGAATTTTTCTAGCAGCATAGCCATACTTATAGACTCTATCTAGTCCATTACATATGTATATGTAATTAATATTGTTATATTTGTGCCAAATATCCTTCAGTTTGTTTGCTTTTTAATTTTAAGATTTTTATTCTTATAATTCGTTGTGTTAGGGATATTTCATGTCTATTATAAATTTGTTATGAAAACTACTGATTTTATACTTGCATAGTACCTGATTTCATAAGGAGATTTATGAATTATAGTATTCAATTCTTTCTTCAATTTCTTTGTTTTTTGATATTTATAAATAATTTGTTTTTCATTTTGATATATATTGCAATGTGAATATATACATGAATTTCTTACCTGTTACACCAAGTTTTCTCAGCATTATTATTTTGGTAATCCACAATTTCATCATTTTTTGGTGCCTCGTTTAACATTTCATTAAGTTACTATATATACATTAGGAAAATAATTAAAATTCATGAGAAGAGATAGAAATAAAAATTCTGGTGTAGTGATTAGAACAGAAATAAAGGGATTAGTAAGGAGAATGATGTTCAATACTCCAAGATCTAGTATTCAAGAGAGACTTGAAAGAGGAAGGGACAATAGTCAACAGAATTGAATATCTTGGTAATTTTACAGTAAGGTACATGGAAATGGTCCATTGGTTTCAGCAATTAGAAGTTATGTAATAGAGGAGTTTAAAAAAGATTAACAAATGGAAGATGAGATTGCAGTTTCAGAGAAGTAAAGATAGAGAAAGTGAAAACACATTCTTATAGACTGTTAGAAACACATGAATGTTTTGAAAGCTATAAAGCAATATGTATATGTGACTATTTTCAATATGTTTTCACAGAATTCAGAAGTATCTGTGTTTGAAGTTAACATTCGATTTATTGGAGGCCTGCTTGCAGCATATTACCTTTCAGGAGAAGAGGTGAGTAAAGTTAAGTAATAAATACATTGTTTTGTGGGGAGGGGTTATGAATGGAATTTAATCAAATGAAAGACTTCCCTAGCAGCATGTTGTTTTTTGAACTTGAATATTATTGAACTCATCTAAAGGTTTGCCAAAAGAACTAGATGCTTCAGGTGGAAGTGTTCCTTAGAATGATAATTTTTCTGTTTTTGAGAATCTCAGTAAAATATAATTTTATCACAGATTCCAGCTTTATTTAGATCAAGTGTCCTTTACAAAAGTCATCTTTCTCTAGGATTTTGCCATTATAATTAATTGCATGGTTCAACAATTGGGAAAAGAAACCAAGAACAAAATTAAGGAATAAATCAGGAAGAATTTAATACAGATGCTCCTAATACCAAATATTAATTATTAAAACTTATTGTTTGGAAATTAAATGCAAATTTATTCATAAGATATTTTTAAATTTAAGAAAATTCATCTTTGGTTACGTATGTATATTGTAAAGACATATTTCTATTCATGTTGTCTTTGGGGTTGCTTGTTAATTTTTGCTGTGAACTTTAGTTATTTTTAGAATTTTTTTCCTCTGGTGTGGCTTCTAGATTTTGGTTCTTAAAAAACTTTCCCTGTATCTTGAGTTATAAAATAAAATTTCCCATTTTGACTTTATATGCTTATATTTAAATATTTGTCTCTGTGTGCTTGTGTATGTAAAGAGTGAGCTATTCATGTACTGCTGTTTTTTAAGAAGAAATGTGTTTGAAGATGCTGGTATTTAGTATTTAATATATAAATCATTTAGTATGTAATTTTACTGTAAAATTTTATTATGCAACTTGGATATACCTCCAATTTACATTTCCTTAGAACACTTCAGTTCAGATTTAATAGAATAGAAAAAAGTGACTTGTACTTGGTCCAAGAAGTTTTCAAAGTGTGTATTAGAATCACATAGGGTGGTTTTTATGAATGAAGGTCCAAGCTGTGTCCACAGGACTGATGTAGTGATTTTAGTATAGAGAACACAATTACGTTTTTTGGGTAAGTATTCTTTGATAAATGTGATTTTGCAAATGGTGGTTCTGTATTTTGTGAACCTCTGGTCTAGCTTATGAATAAAATCATTGTAAATTAATTAACTAGGATTTCGAAATCAGTTTTATCAAGGTACATTCACATACAGTTAAAGTTACCTATTTTAGAATATAATCTGTGAGCTTCGACAGTGTATATGGTTGTAACCACCAACAAAAATAAGATACAGAATTTGATCTTAGAAAATTTCCCTATACCATTTTATAGTAACTTTATCATTTACTGTCAGCCTCTTTTATAAGATTTTTTTACTATTTCCATATGGTGTTCATTATTATGGCTTTATGGAAAATCTTGAAATCAGGGTGTATGTGTTCTTTTAACTATTGTTTTGTCTATTTTAGTTACTTTAGCTTTTTATATAAACTTTAGAATCAGCTTGCTGTTAAAGATCCTCCTATTGTTTTTATAGGAATTATAACTTTAGAGACAATAAACATCTTAACAACATTGAGTGTTCTAATCCATGAATATGGTATATCTTTTCGTTTGGTTATTTAAAAATTTTTCTCCATTGGTATTTCTAATTTTTAGCATATAAATGGACCTTGCACATATTTTGATCTTTAACTGAATGTTTCTAATAATAGTGTATTTTTTCAGTTTCCACTTGTTTATTATAAATGTATATAAATCCTATTTATTTTAAACATCTTTTAATAAAGACTTAAATTATTAACTGTTTCAGGACATCTTAATTCTCTTTAGATAACTTTCTGATGCTATATCATTGTTGAAAAATTGTGGTAGATGTGTATTAAACAAGATTTGCCCTTTTTAAGTGTACAGTTGCACTTAAAAAAAATTCAGATTGTTGTTTAATATATAATGAGTTTTACATTGACCTTCTACCCTGAGATTTTTCTAACTTCATTAATTTTAATAGCTTTTACATAGATTTTAATGGATTCTTAGGAATTTTCATTGTAAATAATTAAATCATTAGTAAAGAGGTGAGTTTATTTTTCCACAGAGGAGAATTTTCTTTGCTTTGCTTTAGTGCATTACCTAGGACTTCCATTACAAAGTTGAATAGGAGTTGTGAGAGTGAGCATCCTTGCCTGGTTCCTGAATCAGGGGAAAAGCATTTAGTCTTTCACTATTAAGCATAATGTTTGCTATAAGTATTTTGTAGATACCCTTTATCATCTTCTGGAAGTTTCATTATATTCTTAATTTACTGATAATTCTTATCATGAATGGATGTTGGATGTTATAAAAAATGGCTATAATAAAATAATTATATAATAGTTCTTTTTCCAGTCTATTGATATGGTGAATTATATTGGTTACTTTTTAAATATCAAACCAGTCTTGCATTGTTTTGCTAAAAAAACCCTACTTGGTTATGGTATATTATTTTTATATATCACTGGATTTGGTTTAATACTACATTGTTTAGAATTTTTTGCATCTGTGTTCATGTGGATATCTGTAATCTTTTAATACCTTTGTGTGTGTGTTTGCAGTAGATATGTGGAAGCTAATAAACAATAAGGGGAAAGGGGAAGAATGGAGTTAAGTAGATTAGACAAAGGGGAATGAAGAGAAGGATGGGATAGAAAAAGGAAAGACAGTGGAATGAATCTGACATTATTTTCTTATGTAAAATATGAATACACCACAGTGAATCTCACATTGTATACATCCACAAAAATGGGGTCCTATAGAATAAGACATATTTCATGTTTATATAATTATATCAAAATGGATTCTATTATCATGTATAACTAAAAAGAATCAATTTAAACAATAAGAAATAAAGAAAAAGAATGTAAAAGTAACAAACTTCCTGTGGTGGGGGAAGAGTAACACTGCCCTTAAAATGAATTGCCAAGTGTTTGCTCTTTTATCTCTAGAAGTTTGTATATAATTGGCATTATGTTTTTCCTTAAATGTTTGAGTTGTGTGATACAACTTCCCAGTGAGGCAACTTGGGAGTTGTTTTTCTAAACTACCAGGAATTGAACCTTATGTACATACATAATTGAGTACATTGTTGTTATTATTTTTAAGTATTATCTGTAGAGCAAGAAAAATAAAAGTTTTTAATTTTACTGATTTATTTTCTGATTCTCTCCTTTATGTAGATCCAAATTTCTGACCTATATAATCTTATTTCTGAAGATTATTTTAACATTTATACCAAAGCAGCCTTCTGGCAACGTATTATCTTTCTTTTCTTTACTAGAGAAAGTGCTAAACTAAATAAAACAGAAAAATAATTTGAATATGACATTTTTCTGATATTTAATGGGCAATAAATTCCTTTATTTCAGTATGAACCAGAAAATTACTTGTGATTTATAATCTAACAAAGTGCTTTCTTGTAGTAAGGAAATATGTAACTATAAATAAAAACATGTTACATGCACTCTGTTCTCTGGTATAAGGAACCAAGTGAGAGTTACATGCCATTCTAACAAAGTGTTCCTCTCTCCTATTGATTTATTAATATTATAGATGTGAAGTTTTATCATTTTATTTTCTCAAAAAGCACTAGTTATATTAAATATTCACAGGTTAAAAACCTTGATGATTTAGTATTTTACTTGATGCCAGCTTCAAATTTATGGCATTTCTTTAACAGGATTGTCTCTGTTCATGTTTTATAATAGTTATCAAAATGGTGTTCCTTCCTACGATAACATGATTTATGTGGATAACAGTACCAGAAATCTGTCAGATAAAATATAGAAGTTGTTATGTGGAGTTTAATATATAATCACAGATAATAAAAACAAAAGAAACAACAGCAGTAAAATCTTTCTTTACCAAAATGCAAATGTACTATGTTGCTTGTAGGTAAGATCATTCAGGGATATTATCCCTGAACTATGTAAGTTTTTAACTTAAAGTCCTCTTAGTGAAGTTATGAATAAAGAAAAAAATTTTAGACTGCTAATTTTTTTCAGTCTTAATACCAGAAATTATTGCCCTTTTTGGCATTAATTCTCAGTTTAATTTTGGAAAGCCTGATTTCACTCCAGAAATTAATATTCCCATTGAAAATTTGACCTCTTAATTTTTTTTGCAGGTGTTCTGGTAGTTAGGCAAAACATTTCACTAAGTTCTGGTGACGTAGAAAATATTTTAAAATTTATTCTCTTAACATTTTTTCTTAAATGTGTGAGGTCCTACTACTTTTGTACATATTTATGTTTAAAGTCACAATGTCTTCCCCAAGTCATAGTTGATGGTTTTGGTTATTATTACTGATGTGATGAATTTATCGCTACCATGGAAGTAGAAATTTGAGGGTAAAATGTGGGATAGAAGAGTACCACAGAAAAGAAGCCCCAAGTGCTGCATATAACTGCCCATTTATTTGGCTAACCCTGTACTATGTGTGAGTGGGAGAAACACTGAGCATCCTAGCCATCACTAAAGGAACTGAACACCTATTGCAGCTTCTTCCTGCTGTAGGGAGAGACAGTTGGATTTTGAGTTTATCTAAGTGCCTCATAAAACAAAAAATGGTGTAAGAGAGAATATAACAGAATCAATAGTCTCTGAAGAATATCAATCACAGTGACCAATACAATTCAAAATTACTCAGTGTATGAAAAAAACAAGGGACAATGTGGCCCATACATTTTTAAAAAGTCAATGGTAACCTGTCTTGAAGTAACCCAGATATTGAATTGGTTGAAAAGGATTTTATATCAGCTTCTACAAAGTATTTTTGAAATGACTGTATAGATGAAAAATCTAAGCAGAAATGAAGTCTGTGACAAAGAATAACATTGGAAATTTTAGAAATGAAAATTCAGTATCCGAAATAAAAGATTTATTGTTTAATAACATCATTGGAAATGGTAATAGTAAACTTGAAGATAGATTTAAATTATTTAGTGTGAAGAGAACGAAATCGTTAAAAAAGTGAACATAGCTTTAGAAACTTGTGAGACAATATT